TCTTTTAAACACCTTGAGTAAGGAAAAAAAAAATCCATTACATCTACACACCGAGTGCTATTTTATCTACTAGACTGAAGTAATTCTCAGGTCAAAATTGCCCTAACGCCTATATGCGGATACAGAGCTGATGCAGAGTTTTAACATCTTTGAGAGTCCTGGAAAAAGCAGGATGTTTTATTTTTATGCATCACAACATTCTGCCAGAGTCAGGGAACGCAACTGTCAACTGGAAATTCTGTCCAAAATGTCATCTAAGTAATGATCCCAACAACTCCTAAGAGGTGGTTTTTTTTTTTTCCCCCTTTTTTCAACAGCTTGTTACTTAACCCTAGAACAAGTTCACAACCTAATTAGTATTTCCTCCTCCTTCTCTCACTCATAAACATGCAAATATAACTCATTAATCCCAAGCATGCATGAGATTTATGAAAGCGCCTTAAAAATTGTTCTCAAATTGCATTTCTTATACTCTGATCGTATACATAAGGTAGAGGCTACAGCATTTATTTTCATTTACTGCAAGACTAATATTGAGAATACCTGTTTTTTTTAAGAGAGAGATGTTTGCCATAACTCTTACTTAATCCTCCAGCTCCTCTCTAAAGTACTGCCTGTTCTTCTGAAATTAAGTTACTCTCTGTGAATCCCACGCCACTCTACCTTCTTTTGTTGGATGTAGGTAATCCTACATGCGCAGAAATTTCTCCAAGTAGTGCGGAGAACTTTCCAGTCTCCTAACTAAATCATTTTATCAGCTATTTCTAGACAGCAGCGGTAAAGCCTTTTAAATCAAATGATTAGTTTTTTGTAACCTGAGTTTGTACTCAAGATAATTATTTTATGATGAAAAATTTAAATCATCAACTACCTAAAGCATTTTAAAAGCATTTGTTCTAACAGCAAGGCACAGATAAATTCTCTACTTCATCTTAACAATTCATACCGATAAAATACTTCAGTTGAAAATGACATTAGTTTTATATAGTTTTATTATTATTCGCTTATTATTAATTGTGGGCTTAAAACAGTACACTGACAAAGGATGCAACTAATCCATTTTGGTTTTGCTATCTAGATGAAAACAACCACATAACTAAAAATGCAGTTAAGACATAGGGCATTGTTTCACCTTCTCCTCAGCTGTTATGAATGCCTAACGTACATAGTATAAGGCTCCTACAGGCAGAGCTATTAGCACCATTTGTTATTAATGTTGTCCAACACTTGCCAGGCAAAAATTCCTCTTCCTGGAACAGCTAACTGATTCAGACTTTAAAAGAGACTTACTTAAAACCTTCTACAGTTCTGCTTTGGCAGAACCTACAGAGGACCCTGACGTGCAGCTAAGGGGGCACTGCTGGAGGGACAAGGAGGAAGCGGAGGCTATTTTGACCAGGAGATGGGGTAGAAAAGTCCATGAGCTAAGAACTAAGATGGGGTAAGCCTGACTTTCCACACTCCCTCCACGTATTTCATGCTCTTTCTGTAGGAAGGAATGGCGGGGACCACCCTGGCGTGAGAACACTCCCCGTAAGCCTGGTCAGGAGCTTTAGGCACAGGCCACACTGGAGTTACGGCAGCCAGGCAGAAAACAGGGCCTTTCATTTCTCGGTTGTCATGGCAGCTTCAGGCCAGCAAGGATAATTACCAGCTCGCTTTGGCCATCCTGGTTCAAGTTGAATCACAAATCCAAAACGCCAAGTTTGGTAATCTCAGCAGAGTTCTGCTTTGCACAGCTGTTTATATCAGGCATGCGGCATGGGCAGAAATCTCAGGACATTCAGCCACGGTGGTATTAACAGACCAAACAAACATGGAGGCTCACTGGATTGGTTTTTCTGTTCTGCCTTTAGCTGGACAGCGTACAAGCGATGTGTGAAAGCAGGATAAACGTGTTTCTGTTCTGTTCACAGTGTATCTTCATTTGAAAAACGGCACCTACAGAAACCTGATAATCAAACAAAATGACTTTGTAGAGGGGCTGAACAGGCTCTGCCGTGACAAGACCACGGTAATTGAGGGCACAGGAATTATTTCTCCAGTGACTGAGAACATGTCCTGCTGTTTCTGTATGGAACCATCCTCCTGAACTAATTAATGAAGTTATTCCGTTTCTTGTTTTTCAAACTCTTAAGATACTGAATCCACTTTTTCATGGCATGCTCAGGTAAATCAGCCAAAGATTTCAAAGTGCATTTCATGAAACCCAGTCACAGTTACTAGTAAACTAGCCCCTTTCTAAAAAGCAAGACCCTCAAAGGCCTCTCACTATTCCCCTCAGTTTCTGGACATCCCTTGTGTTTTAGCAAGCAGGAATTAACAGAAAGGGTGTGCTGAGGTTCATGTTGTTAAACAAGGAAGCAGAAGATTCTCAAAAAAAAATGCTCAAATATTCACACAAAAAAAAAGAAATATGAGTTTTGAGGGTTTTTTTTGAGGAACGGCCTGACCTATGGTAGCAACCTCACCCCAAAATAAACTGCACTACCATCTTCCCAGGAGTAAAAGCAGCACCGAAACAGACCTCATAATGAAGGGGCAGGTTTAGGGATAGTCTGTATCCAAAGTAAATTATTCACAAGAATTAAACCAGACTTGTTTACAAAGCATTCTTAATTTTTCATCATATCTTACATCTTGTACCTTTGTTAGCAGTACTTCAAAAAGCACCACAAAAAAAAAAATCTTTTATGCATTCCAAAATTGTCGTTCTTTCCTGGGCAGCATCCACTCCATTTCATTACTTCAAAACAGGTATATTCTTCCCGTGGCTTTTCCATATAATTTCATGGAAGTAAATAGTCTTACCTGGTAGAACTATGAGACCCTTTTCCTTCACAATTTACCTTTGTTCTGGAGAGAAGAATGAAGATTTGTCTTATTCAAAGTGCCAAATGACAATTTAAAGTAACAAACTTCTAAAGAAATTGTCCGTGGTAAAAACATTTGCATAATAACAAGGAGTAATTCTTCCAAACAGGTTCTCAGAAAGACAAGTTTTGCAGGCAAAGATGAAGGTTGTTCTCAGTGTATGATGCCACGTGTGAAGGGTTAAAGTAATTGCACACCATTTAGACCCCTTTGCCTGTACACAAGGTAACACCACCACCGTTATACAGCGGTGCATCTACTGCTCTGTCCGTCTGATTCTGCTAAAGCTGTGCTCACTGAACTATGTGCTACTGATTTCAGGAAAATAAGTAAATAAATAAACCAAGCTGTACAAGTCAAACTTTGACCGCATTCACATGATCAAAACTTCAGACTAACAAGGCACTCTGCTTCCAAATATAAGAAGTTGGAAGAGTGGTGGAGAGGAGATATTCCAAGCATTAAATTGATTTGCAAAAGTGCAAGTACCAAAAAGCAAGCAAAGAGGATTTCAATTTTTACAGGCTACATGTTTCAGGAACAAATTTTCCTTTATATTAAGCATTTTTTGCTGTATTTTTGGCAACCTAAAGGAGCATTCCACTGAGGAACTGTTCCAGCAACAAGAATCAGCTGATCAACAAGGACGTGTCTCAAGTCCCTTGATATGGGTTGGGGGTAGAGATCCATTTAGAAGTTATTTTTGTAAGTCATTAAAGGATGAGACATTCTAAAACATTCAGTTAAGAACACACTTAGTCAACTACTTTAAAAACCCCATAGCAGCCTTTATAATTTCAGATTCGTGGTACAATGTGCATATTAATTTCGACATTATCTGTTCAGACTATTGCACACATTTTATTGTTGCCATTTAAAGGATGCTAATAGGATAACACCATTGACAGCTTAACCTTTATTAAACTGCTGATACAAGAGGATTCTTTTAGTATAAAGTCAGATGAAGACATTACAAAAATTATATAGCTATTAACAGATTACAGATAAACTATTTCAAGGAACATTCTCTTTATAATATTGGTCTTTTCTTTACAATTAGAGACCAGAAAAATGAGGGGGTTCTGTCATAATATTTTACTAAATTAGCATTTAAATAATACCTGAGGCACTTTTCAGAGATTATTAAAAGCTATGAACAATTAGCTCATTTAGAGTTAAATCTGAGGAATAAGCCTACGGTATTAACTGTTACTTACGATAGTATTGCTACTATTTGCTTCCAAAATCCAGGTACCCGGAAGCTTAAAGAGTTTGTAAAACACTGAAGTCAGCTCCAAGCTTTCTGTCTGCCTGTAGTAACAATTATGCTTCTCTCACATTTTTCACATACAAAAGATTGTTTAAATATGAATTAAGCCTCACAACATAACTGTAAGGTAGGAAATGCCATTACCCTTTATACAGCATAGAAACAGACTGTAGCTTGCTGAAAGGAAGGGGAAGCATGAGGTGGACAACTCCATGGGCTCAGTCATCCCATATCATGTTCTGTCATAATACAGCATCTCTGATGTTGCTCCAGTAGATTGTATTATTTTGATAGTTCTATCTACAATCATAATCACAAAGTGATTTAAAATCCTGATATTATTCAGGGAGAACAACATATGTGCCCAATCACAAGACCTAAACATGGAGCAGACAGATCTGCTCCAAAAAGGAGCTCTGTTGTACTTCAGTTGTTCTTGATCACTCAGTATAAAACCTTTGCTGACTTTACAGAAAAAACACATCATATTTCTGTACCTGGACTTGCCCAAACACATTAAAACAACAGAAGTCAAATTCTGTTCTACGTACATCCACAGCCAATGGGACAGAAATTCTTGCCCCTGATTTCAAAGCCTTCCTGAGGACAGGAGAGCTTTTCAGCTTCCACATCTCACCCTACATCTAGCTGCTCAGCTACAGTATTTGTGCAAGAAATAAATAAAAGTATATTGCTATGACTAAGAGATCTGCAATGCATTCATGCTCCCAAGCCAAGAGCACAGGGCAGCTTTAAAATATTAAGTTCCTTGATCAAAAGTTAAAAACAAATCAGACAAACTACTAGGATGGATGGAAGAAAGCTGTTTTCAGTGGGAAGGATTTTCTTGTTCCTTCTGGTGAATAGATCATCAAAAAAAAAAAAAATGTTCGCCCACAAGTGTCACAGTTACTCAGTATCATATCCCAAAATGGGTCCCAGCCACTTCTCCACCTCTGCCACAGACAAATTTTTTCTCAGTGCATAATCTTCAACCTGCAAAGGGACCACAAAAAATGATTATTTGGAAACTCCAGCTTTTACTGCTTACAAAATTTTTTGGAACATCTGCTCACAAGGTGTTTTGAATGCTATAACACTACCACAATGGACAGTGCAAGTTACCTGATCTTTACATATCTTGCCAACAGCAAAATATTTGGATTTGGGACTGGAAAAGTAGAGGCCAGAAACTGCAGAAGCAGGTATCATTGCTAGTGATTCAGTTAAACCAATTCCTGCAAAAGAGAATGAGAATTTTCTTATTCTCTGAATTAATTGATAATAAGCATGAATTCAGAACCATTTTTTGTTGGGCAGCTTCAAGCAAACTCAAAAACCAAGGAGCTTTCAGATGAACTAAAACCAAAACCATTTTCCACTTGTTAACTGTTAAAAATACACACATAGCTTTAAATATATTGCAGACTTATCATTACAGTACTACGGTAGAGTAACTGTACAGTTTGAAGGCAAAAAACTTGGACATTTTGGCAAGTGAAAAGAGTAACTAGAGGTTTTGAAACGCAGGAAGGTATTTTTGGAATTGTGGAAGTAGCAGTGAGATGTCTGACATGTAAAATATCAGAGGAAAACAAAAGGAATTCATTCTTTTTCTAAGAGTTACCATCTCAAGGTTTCTGTGGACCAGGAAATACACTGCTGAATTGGCTTTTTTCCTATTTATATCTGGAATGACTTCTTGCAACCATAAGGATGCTAGAATTTTTCTCTGTGCAGCAGAACCCTGTTTGCATGCAATCTGCTAATTAGGGACATAACTCCTTCACCAACAGCACTGGCAGTATTTTGCAAATTCTTCCTTGAATGAAGCAAAATAAAGATGGCAATGAAAAGGGGAAGACAGCAACTCCCAGAACTGCATCAGTTTGTGCTTTTTATGTAGCCTTGCATCACCCAATTCGCTGTTTTGTTGGCATTTCAATCTTTCATTCGTGTAAAAACAGTTTAAGAATCTTAGTAAAGCAGACAGAGGTACCTGTTGTTTCCTCAATGTTTGCAAGTTTCCACATGGTGAGTTTTTCTGTATGGTCAGGCTGGCTTGGATATCCAGGGGCAGGGCGAATTCCCTCATATTTAATTCTGCGTAGGTCAGAGAGATCTAGCTGCTCAGTACTACAGTAAGCCCAGAATTCCCTTCGAACCCTTTCATGGAGCTCCTCAGCAAATGCCTTGGAACAGAATGCAAAGTTTTTTGGTTTTGGTTGTTTGGTGGTGGTTTTTTTGGGTTTCTTTTTTTTTTTTTTTTTTTTTCATTTGTGCAGACTGATACAGTAGCTATTTGATGAAGACAAACAATGATAGAGACTTTCTCCCCATTCCCATTTTAATTTTTAAGGGAGCTCTTATCATAGGTGAGAAATTTAATAGCGTTAACATTCATATACAATACTTATTTTGCTAATTGAAGTATTTTAGTTTTTTCTCTTACTGGTAGACAGTGGTTTTTTTGGTTGTCCTGCTTTAAAATCCTACATACTCAAAGAGGTAAAGATGTGGACAAGTAACCAGAAAAGATGAAGTTCGTTAGTCTACAGTAGCGATACATCATTATAGCACTGAAGCCATTAGGTCTTGACTACCTGGGTAGCTCGTCCAGGTCCAGCTACAGAAGGCCACGTCATTCTTGCATCCGTGCTAGTATCGGATGTAAGTAAGTGCCACTGCTCTTTTCAGCAGAGGACCTTTCCTCTAGCTGAAAGTGGGCAACAGCTTTTCTTAACCGCTCTGCTCTTCCAGCTTACACTGTTTTGCCAGCAATGGTTGCGTTCAGGAGACATTTCCGCTTCAGTAAATATCTTTAGATGGCATCTAATAATAATTTCTGAAACTCTGTTAGAGCTTGAAGTACACAACTAGAGCTAACCCCGTTTGCACTGCACTGAAGTTGCTGTAAGTTTTACCAAGGTTACTTAGGTGTAAGCATGGGGGCAGGCTGATGGGGATAGAGGGGTAGGAGGGAAGGGATGGCATTTTCTAAACCACTTCCGTTAGAGCTTGAAGAGCATGTCTGTCTAAGCCTAAGACATGTTAAGTCAGAAGACTTGTGCCCTGGATACATCTGCATGGTCACCATTAAAAGCAGAAGGCATGTCTGCAGTTCAAGAATATAACTGGTGGGTCACACCTGGTTCCAAACACGTTCTCATGATGATAAAACAAGATTTAAAGATAGATCTTTCTAAACAGTCTTGTTTTAAGATCTACTAAATTCTATCAATCACCAAAACCCTCAAAGAACTCAGAGATGCTTTTGCAGCTGGAAGATATGGACAGCAGAGTCCCCACTGGCTCAGAAGAGGACTCACCTCTCAAGACAATTTCAGTAGAACCAGTTCACTTTCAGATTTAATGCAGGGCATACGTTACAGGCAACAGTCTACGTTTACGCTAGAACTTGAAACAACAACCTGTCAAGCAAATCTAGTACACAGTCAGAAAATTCGCAAGGAAACACATGATAAAACCTCATACCTCTGCCAACCGATCGCCAAGAGCCTTTACCATTATGATGTTGTATTCATCATCCTGTTTCCTGAATTCATTGCATAACTCATCTACACCAAAGCAGGCCACAGCAAACAGGCCTAAGTAGTCACAAATGCCAGAATCCAGTGGTGCTATGAAGTCAGAGAGGCAGTAATATGGATCTGTACAGGCAGAGTCCTTTTCAGCCTGAAGTCACAAAAAGAATGCAATGAATCAGAACATTTAAAAATATATTAAGTATTAGTGCGCTATTAATCTGAAGACCAGTATTTTTCAGATTGAAGGGCTTAAGGGATTCCTGACAAACACCTAACTAGTCTTTGAGCCATGACGGCTTTCTTTTACTTGAATTAGAAGAAAAACACCTCTCTTACTCTGAGGGCGTTTGGATCACTGAAGAACAAAATGTCAAAGAAGAGAGATGCTGTGCTAAACACATAGAGAGATGTTTTGCTTCCATTTACAGCTAGTAAGATTTAACAGCTTATTCTGCAGACCAATTGTTACAAAATAAGGAACACTCTTGTGCCAGCCACTGGGTAAGAGGAGGAATTTTCCATCTCTAGCACTCACAGATTCCACATTTGTTAGCAAAACTGATGGCTGATAGTTCGCATCTCAGTTATGCCAACCGCAGAACTCTCTGGCAACTCCCATTTTAGAACGGCTGTGAGAGTTTATAAATACTCCTAGTTTCTTATGCTGCAAACCATGGTCTCAGTAATCCAGACCAAACAGCGCCCCAGGATGTAGGTTTACCCTAGCCACAAGCAAATACAAACAAAATGCATCTATCAATACTGAAAAGTTGAATCCCAAGCAAAGTTCAAGTGGGTTTACACAAACAGGAAATATCTGTCTCACTGGATCTTTTTCCAAAATTGAAAAAAGGGAATAGAAAGAGGTGACAATGCTGGCCATAGCACCTAACAAGAAGTTTTACAGTTGAGGATCATATCAGTGTGTTCATTGTGGGAATATGACTGCTATTTAAAAAGTGGCACGGCACTTGTAAATCTACCCAACTTAGAGATAAAAGTTATTTCACGGCTATCACTTATCTGAAGATTCCTCTTCAAGTTTTATTATTCTATGACAATATTTTAACAATGCTTTCCATCCACTCCCAACTGCAGCTTAAAAAAAACTTACAAAACACCACCCCCCAAAAAAAAAAAAAAAAAAAAAAGGAAAATGGTCATTTCCCTAGTTTCTATAACCTACTAGATTACAGAAAGTACCATAAAAATGAATAAATATCCTTCTTCCACACAGGTGAAATCTGTGTGAATTTTAAGGTTCTTTTGTAATGACTACAGTTAAGGAAAATAATGCATCTCCAACTTGTAGGTTTACGTCACATCCTTAACAGTGTCAATGTCAGGGAGAAAACTCTGTACTGAACAGAACATTTTATATAAGAAACAGGAGACAATTATTCTCTTCTACTTTGCCCTACTGAAGCCTCTGCTGAATTACTATGTACACCAGATTGAAAGAGATGCAGCTAAAATACGTAGAGTCCAGAAGAACAGTAGCCACAGTAGCACGGAGTTCCATAGCCTTAACCTTTGAGAAAAGCCTGAATAAGTTAGGAATATACAAGATAAAAAGACTAAGGAAAAGAACAATATTCCAATAGTAAAAACCATTACAAGAAAAACATCAAATCAGATATTCTCCTTGGGAGAATCCTGGGAAAAGGCGAGGAAAAGAAACTGTAGTAAGCTTGATTTACATGGGATACCAAAATGTTTAACTAGGTAGTAAGGCCCTGGAACAGCCCTGCCTGAATGCTGGTGAGAACAGTTTATATAAACATCTGCCATGGATTGTCAAGATACACTAGATCCATCTCCATGCAACAGATAATCTGTTCCAGGGAACTGGAACAGATAAACTTAAAGTCACGTTATTTCTTAGTACAGTTCTGCAATATTGGCACAGGACTGTCCTCACAGAATCCTGTACTCCAGAAATTTAGGTAGTTGTTAAAAAATGTTTCTGCCACGTTTGATGACTCTGAATGTGTGAACTATGAAGAAGCCAAGTCAGAAGGTAGGGAAGGAGAGGCAGAATATCCTGAAAATGTTTGACCTATCAAAATAAAAGGAAATCTATGTAAGTATGATTAAGCATGAATACTTAAAATTCATGACCCCCAAACCACAACAATAAAGCCGATGAAGCAATATTTGGGACACTAAGGCAAGCTTCTGGTCAACAGAACCTGGTTCTCATGGGTGACTTCAACTATCTAGACATTTGCTGGAAGATCAATACAGCAGCTCGCACGTCATCCCTCAAGTTCCTGGAATGCTGACAGGCCACACCCAAAGGGTGGTGGTAAATGGCTCTTTTTCAAACTGGCAACCTGTCACAAGTGGGGTCCCCCAGGGATCAATGTTGGGCCCAACACTATTCCGTATCTTCATGAGCAATCTGGATAATGGGATCAAGTGTAGCCTGATGAAGGTCGCAGATGACACCAAATTGAGTGGGGAAGTAGACACTCTGGAAGGGAGAGCCACCCTGTAGGAAGATCTGGATAGGCTGGAAGAGTGGGCTAACAAGAACCTTATGAAGTTTAGCAAAGACAAGCGTAAGGTCTTATACGTGGGAAAACATAATCCAGGAGTGCAGCACAGGCTGGGATCCCCCTGGCTGGAGAGCAGCTCTGTGGAAAGGGACCTGGGGGTCCAGGTGGACAGGAAGCTCAACACGAGTGAACAGTGTGCTGCTGCGGCCAAGGCGGCCAACAGGATGCTGGGTTGCATCAAAAAGGGCATCACCAGCAGAGATAAAGAAATCATTGTCCCACTCTACTCAGCGCTTGTCAGGCCACACCTGGAATACTGTGTACAGTTCT